CTGGAGCTGCCTTTCCCTTGCTAAAATAAAATCTGATTACCTCTCGCATAACTCACGAAACTGTAATAACACGACTGCAAACAAAATCACGGAACGGGTGGGGTTTGAACCCCACCACTCAACCAGCTACGGAACGGGTGGGGTTTGAACCCCACCACTCAACCAGCTGGCCGAATGGTTAACGCACTGGCCTGAGAGTTGTAGGGCTCATTGGCCAAGGGCTCGAACCCCACCCATTCCGTAACTTGATTACTTTTCATTCCCTAAGGCGCTCTACGACCCCCACGGGTTTAGCACCTGTGCATGAGTTGAATAAATAATAACAATAAACTAGAAATGCTAAGACAAATTATGTCCTTAGTACCCAGGCAGAGCCAGAGTTGTGTACCCATCGAAACTGGTGAAGAAATCCCTCATACTGTAAATCATCTTGAGCATCTTGTTTGTGTATGATATCCACATGTAAATATATCGCAAGTATACGTGATGGTCGATCTATTTCCATGATTTTTTTTCTGATAGAACGGATGGGTTCAAATCCACGGCAAGCCAGTCCCACAACCAGAAGGGCAGTTAGGATAGACCTGCAGCGGGTTCGAATCCCGCCCTCTCTGTGAGCCATTTACAATCGTGTTACGTGTTACTTATTTGATATCACTTCTAAAGAATACTTTCACCTCCGTGCCAGCACATGCCTTCAACAGAGGACATACCATGCATTTATAAACAACGGTACAGAGGCTTTATTATGATTCTGTTTTCATTAAATAACTAACATTAGTGTTTTATTACATTCATGGGGGGTAACCTCCAAGGGTCACATACAGAACCTGAGAAATTGAAGGTAATCGTTTTTGATTGGAAGAAGGGGAGAATAAGTCTAATTCCTTGATCAAGAATCCTTCAACAACATTACAGCACCTTTTAAATTATAATAAAAAACGAAGCTCTAGGCCACAAGGGCTATACAGCAGCACCTTTTAAAAGCACGTTAAATATAAATAGGAAAATTATACCCAAGAAACTCCACTGAACAACTGTATTAATATATGTATTCTCTCTACAAGAGGGAGGGAGGTTTGCCTTGATGCTGGCGAGGGGCGCCTGGAGGAGGTGAGAATGAAACTGTTTATCCCCAGCGAGTGACGTGGCTGTTGTGTGGGGACAACATCCTAGCTGTACCCAGACGACTCGACACCACCAAACTTCATAATAAAATCAACTCTGTAGAATCTTCATTAAAGTTTACTCTGGAAAGTAAACATGATGGGTGACTTCACTTTCTTGACGTACTAGTTTTGCACGAACGACACTAAATTGAATTCCAAGGTGTACATGAAGCCCACTAGCAAAGATAACCTGTTACACATCACATTATGATGCGATGACAAAAAAAAGGTCATCATAGAATTTTATCTGAAAGCATACGAGAGCTCAAACCCTACTTTCCTGAAAGAGGGATGTAGCCACATACACCAAGCCTTTATTAAACTGCAATACCCAGCACATTTCATTAACAACTGTATGAGAATAGCCTACATCATCATCCATCCTACCAGGTAAAGTCACATGACAGATTCTTAATACCCACAGTCAGCCAGGTTTCAGACAAGCCTCTCCAACTAGCTTGCCAAGAAAAAGCAAAGCAAGCATAGCCAACATTATATCCAACACTATCAAAAACTTGGTAACTAAGAAACATACACAAAGAAAATGACGTTGGCGTCTATACCATCCCATGTTGAAATAAACATTTAACAGATCAGCACATTAAATGAAATTTCACCACGAGTGACTTCATCATTAGGACTGACGAAGACACGTGGTGAAGCGTTTTCTTCAATAATATCGTGATGTACACAAATATCCTTTTCCGCAGCTTGTCTGTATTACCATCCTATTCACAATCAACCTGTGGAGAATGCCACGTAATATACGTGGGAGGGGAGGGGGGGGGAGGACTTCTACAAACATGGAACAACGCATCAAGAAGCACCAGTTCACAAGTCAAAGAGAGCAAGAATTTAATGAGCGCCTGGAACAAACTCCCACAACCATCCGATGAATTTCAAAGACGAAATTAGTCATTAAAGAAAATGAGCAGCACGACAAGTGTTAAGAATGCGTTCTTACTGCCACTACAAATACCATCACACAAAATTCTGGGAGTTTTATCATATCGTAGGTTTCCCCAGGCCCACCCTGCCCAAACTGGATACAGTCATCAAGTAGTCCATGCCACTACATGTAGCTCAGGAGTCATCACGCCCTGATCACCCAAACGTCGCCTCAACAATTATCCTGATATTTCCTTTGTATCTTAGGTACGTGTCGGTGTTTAGACACCATTTGCAATCTGGTGAAAACTTCTTGATTCAAAGAACAGAAGCTTCCTTTAACTTCCTCGGATTAACTTTAATAACCTCCCATTCTCCAAGCGCCGTATGACCCCTTACGAGTTTAGCTCTTTCCAAAGAATATAAGTAATATATTCTTCATATGAGAAATTAAAGCATAAGCTTTCATAAGTTACAGAAATGCATTATGGAGGATGGAAGTAGATTCACACTTGTAAACTACATACACTAGTGCTCAAGTAGTACTTAATTAGTTTACACTTTTTTGGGTTTAAGACCCATCGAGTGCATCCCAGTCACTAAGGATGCACCTCGTCTGTACGTACATAAAGAATACTTTAAGTCATCAAACAGCAATTAAAAAAACTCAATATATGAAGAGACGCATTTCTCGGTCTATATACATAGGTTTGTGTGTATTAATATTATTACATTATCGTTACTCTTAGGAGTAACACAGTGTTTGATGAAAGGAAATGGAAGGCATCTCTAATTCTTTGTATTAAGAACCCTTCACCAGCATCTACAGGGCAGAGAACACACTTCTCTCGGTTTATATACACAGTTGGGTATTACTGTTAGTATTAGTATTATTAGTACTAGTAGTATAAATATGCGAAGCCCTAAACCCGAGTGGTGAAGGCTCGATTCTCCGTCTGCTAAGCAGGAGACAGTCAAGCAGTTTCCTAATGATTCTTGTAGGTGGGTGTATAGCCTTGGCATGTGCGGCCTTCACCAGCTGGCACCTGGTCCAGTACTGTGTTCTTGCTCTATATGTATGCTCTTTTGTTTTATATGATCTAAACATCGCCTAATTTCGCCTACAATTTGCTACTTAGTTGTGAAATAGGTGGAAACCATTGTGGGTAACTTGTGGCGTATGAGGCGCGGCTTTCTAGACATAACCATCTCCCCGGGGATATAAATTATATCTTAGCTCTGTTACAAATAAACAGTAGTTAATCCCTAAGATAAATTATCCATCTTGGATGGTGCTTAAATTTAAGATACATTTTGTCAAGACACGAGCAAGCAGTCAGAGCTTTGTTAGACTCTTCTTGAAGTACATAATCACTTCAGTACATTCTCTGGGGAGCAATAAACCCACAGAGGCCATACAGGTTAGATCCAAAGAAAGGAACGTCATGTTCAATTCCTTGGGTCATGAGCCCCTCACCGGCGTCAAGGAACCTCCCTAGAGGAAATTGGTATGTTAGTGTTACTGTACTTTATAAGGACCTCAGATATTAAATTTAAAAGCGTTACGGTATTATACATAAATAACCCGAGCAGAGGAAAATGAAACTTATGTCGACGTTTCGGTCAGACTGGGACCATTAACTAGTCACAAAAGCGCGAAGGGAAGGGAGCCACGATATATACGAGAAGTGAGAGGGCAGTGCCTAGAGTAGTAGAACGGGAGGAGTTAATAGAATAATTGTATAAGTAGTGGTAGTGGTTATGGTATTATATATTCGCCCATATCTTACTAATCTTGCATTGCATATTACTGAATAGTTTTTTATTTGTATTATTTGTTAGTTGTTAGATACGTTGTATCAAAATATGGTATGGCACACAGACGAGTTATAGATCACATACATTTCACCTGCACAGCAGACTTTTTTTCAAGTCTAATAAATCCTACCTGATGGTAACAAGCTTAATGTGTTCCCCTATTCCATGTTTATGTTCTTCTGTAATATATGTGTGTATTTTTTTACACCAGGTAGAAAATATTTATTTTCAAAAGCCTGCTGTGCAGGCGAAACATTGTCCCAATACCTCACAATTATTATAATAAAAAAGAAGCGCTAAACCACAAGGGCTATACAGCGCTGCCCAATACCTCACAAGCCAGCTGGTCCAGTGGTTAATACACTGGCCAGAGTTTTAGGACCCGCCTGCTATGGGTTCCAGTCTCACCCAGTCTGTCATTAGTTCTTTGAATACTTTTCAATTACTGCTTGTGTCTTATCACCAACTGTTAGTGATGTTATCTAGAAATGCATGTATGGTGTCATAGGCTGTAGAAGAGCTATACATAGGTAAACTATAGTTTATGACTACTACACCTCAGAGCTCGGGCATTAGTTTACATTTTATAATATATTCGTATTTGTGCAAATTATTCTGGGAGATATTTGGAAAAATAGTGCATTTTGGGCGCGCAGCACGTATCAATCAACGCTTGAGTCGTGTCAGGCGCTAGCCTGAATGTAAACAAAGACGCATGGCTACCGATGGCCGAGTAAGGTTGCTACGTTAGGTTAACTTAGGTTGCATTTGATAGCTTCTTTAGTTTAAATTACTCTTGAAACATTTGCACATTAAAATACTATTTCAGCTGTAAAACCAACTCTATAATGTAAGTAAGTTTATTCAGGTATACACAAATACAGTTACATAGAATTATCATACATAGCATATGTGTAGAGAACCTGAGATAACCCAAAAAAGTCAGTGACTTATTTCCATTGGGGTCCTTTGCACAATTCAAACTATAATTAATGGCCGAAATCCGCCGAGCAGCAGTCGTATACTATTCCTAGTTATTCGTTTATGTAAAATATCCAAATTAGGGTAACCACATAATGCAGAAGTTTGTAATTTTGGTTAATAACGAAAACAAATGCGACCTACACCTCCCAGTACAGCTGCCTGCGGCATCCACCGTGTCCTGTCTGCCCATAGTCACTAAACACAATTCCGCAAGCACCAGGGACACACTAACTGCTTCTTGCTTCACAACACACAACGAAGAATAACGAATCATGCTTTAATGTTAACCACTGAAGGAAAAATCAAGACAACACCACCGCATGTTTGCCAGTCTGGTGTGAGCTGCCTCACATCTTGGGAACATATGTTCAACCTGGGATGCCAGTCGGCTCATAATATATCATTGCTATTGCTTTTGGGGCATTTAGTTTTTTAGAATAATATCTGAAAAATTATCTGAATGTGATTATAAGTCTGAGAGTGATTCGCTATATTATCTACAAAAATCTTCAAGTAAATCATTCAAAAAGATAATAGTTGTTATTGCCATGCTCACTTCAGGTACGGTTACGAACACTTCCGCTTTGTTTTCATTATGTCTTACACATAATTTTTCCGAGAACTGTTACCAATTCGTCGAGTATATAAGTTTTTAAACTTCACTGTCAATATATGTAAACATTAATAAGAGCAAATTTAATATGAACTAGTGCCGTTAATAATGTTTTATGAGCCAAAGTCACTGCCAAGAGAAACAATTGCGACTAGTTGAAAAAGCAATAGTTGTCAACACGCAGTGCAGTACGACACAATTTTATTCTTTTTTGTGGTATACAAAATGTAGTTTACGTGTAATAAAATATTGTTAAACATAAAAGAAAGTCACTATCATGCGGTGCATTTCGGGCAGATTAATCCTAATGCTTATAAGACTTCTTAAGAACTAGACATTTTTTTATCAAGTAGTTTTTTAATGTACAAGAAATGAGGGAGCTAAGTGAATAATAGTACCACATGGGTACTATTATTCAGTTAGCTTTAGGGGCTGCAGCCCAGGACCCTCCACCTGCTGGAGGGTCTCCACCAGCTGGAGGGTCTCCGCCAACTGGAGGGTCTCCGCCAACTGGAGGGTCTCCGCCAGCTGGATGGCCTCCGCCAGCTCGAAGGCCTCAGCCAGCTGGAGGGCCTCCGCCAGCTGGAAGGCCTCAGCCAGCTGGAGGGCCTCCACCAGCTGGAGGGCCTCCGCCAGCTGGAGGGTCTCCGCCAGCTGGAGGGCCTCCGCCAGCTGGAGGCCCTCCGCCAACTGGAGGGTCTCCACCAGCTACAGGGCCTCCGCCTGCTGGAGGGCCTCCAGAGATTAAGTGAAAATCGTTTACAGTTACTGCTATATGTCCATCATTACACTAACTGAAACCTGGCTAAAGCCTGATACTACAGATGTCTATGTCATTCCTGGTTACACAGCCATGCACAACTGTAGGCCAGATCAACAAGGGGGTGGCACAGCTATATACTACTCAGACCAACTAGAATGTATCACTGATACTTGCACAAGGGATGAACATGGGGAATATATAATAGCTAAATTCAAATCCAAATACCCACAAAAACCTCTCACATTGATAAACATCTACAGAGTTCCACAGTCAAACATTAGCCAATTTAGTCAAAACCTAGGAAGTATGATAACTGATGCACGCATGAACAAAGATCACTTACTACTCTCAGGTGACTTCAATATAAATCTCCTGCAAGACCAGGACCCCACGTTACTGAATTCACAAACACAATGAGTAACTGCATGTTGCTACCAACAGTAACAAAACCTTTCAAGAGTTACAGAGACTAGTGTTTCCCTACTTGACCACATCTGGACCAACACCATATCCCCTTTAAAATCAGGCATAATTACAGATAATACCACAGACCACTACCCTACTTTCCTCATAACAACTCTTGGTAAATTACCCCAAGACACTACTAAAGTCACCTTCAGACATCACAATGAGGCAGCCATTAATAACTTCACAACAGCAGTAACAAACATTGACTGGCACACTGAGCTAGAAATCTATACAGATATTGACGAATGTATTAATAATTTTCTAAAAAAGACCCAATACCTCTATAACAAGTACTGCCCTAAAAAAACTAAACAGTCCCTGGCTAACACCCAGCATTCTCAAATCCATAAATACAAAACACCGATATGAAAAACAGTACAGAATGGGTCACATAACCAGAGACCAAACAAAACGTTACTCGTCAATCCTAACCAGCCTGATAAGAAGGGCAAAAAAATTGTATTATGAGAACAGATTATCCAACTTACGAGGTGATATAAAAAAGATCTGGAAAACCCTATCAGAAATTCTAGGAACATAAAAGATATCACGAAATAGCGAAATAAAATTAGCAAAATCAGATGAACCCCAATTCCCACCAACAGAAACAGCAGACTCAATGATTTCTTCTCCATATAGGACAAAACCTTGCCCAAAAAATCCCCAAACTCAGATACCCCCCCAAATGATACCTC